CCATACCTCCCTGTGATGCGTTCTGCGTGTTATTTTGCTGTCTTCTGCTCTCTTGGCTTGTTGATGGTTCGTCTCGTTTGCCCGGTCGGAGAGGGAACTCCGTATTGCCCGGTAAGAGAGGGAACTCTGTGTTGTATCTTCGTTCACTGCTTTTTGCCTCACTTCTGGTTTCCCACCTATTTTTGGTAGGTAGGGGTGCGGGTATGTATTTTTTGGGGTTATTTTTGTTACTATTCATTTTCTTCTCTTCGAGTCTAGAGACTCTCTCGAGGTATGCCTTACATTTCGTAAAGTTGGCGGGATGGTCGCCTCCGCAGTTAATGCACGTCGCAGGGGTATCTCTGGATTTGATACATGTCCTTGTATGGTGACCTGATGCACATTTTAGGCAATTAGGCTGTCTTCCACAGTTGGATGTGGCATGCCCCCATGCCTGGCAATTGTGGCATTGGATAATCTGCTTTGTTGATCTTCGCAGCTCCCATGTTATGCGGGTGTATAGCACCACCCTGACGTTTCTGTTAAGGTAATCCAATGTGATTGATGGGTCTGTAATTACCAGGAATAGGGGCCTATTTCTGGTGGTCATTCTGTATATAGATCTTGTTTTGATCTCGTAGTTTTGCATCAGGTCCTCCTCTAGGTCATCGATTTTTGTGCCGTCCCCAAGCCCGCGTAGCACGAATGCATGGGACTTCTCTGTTTTATTCGTGTAGGTGTGAAAGAACATTTCTTCACTTTTGATATTCCTGATGACGTTGTCATAGTCATCTTTGTCCTCAGTGAAAACAATTGTGGAGTTGTTTGTGTATTTTAGGTTGAAATTACCCTTAATTATTTCCCTGAGGACACCCGTGAGCCCCTGGTGGTCTTCTGGCACTCCGTCCATGACTATGGGTGGCATATAGTTTTTCTTTTTAGCCTGAATAGTGTCTTTTTTGTTATTATTGGTCGTGCTAGGGTTTTCTGCCTTTCTGTCGGCGGTTGAATTTTTTCTTTGACTTCCGGCTTTCTCCCGTCTTTCTTTCCTAGCCAATTCTCTCTTTTTGAGAATTTCTTCGTCTTCTTCTTCTTCCTCAGACTCCGTGAGTACTTGGAATCTGTTTCTGATCTCGACGGGTTTAGGAAGTGAAGCAATAGCTTTTTGCTTCATCATCCTTTTTAGATGACCATTTAGTTTGGGGGGTGAGATGAAATCCTGTGTGTCCATGTTTTCGTCCGGTGATATGATGTCTATCCTATTTAGTTCTTTATTAGCTTCGGTGATTCTTTTGTTCCTTTGTAGTGGGAATGTGCTATTGGGGGAGGTAGGTAGGGGTGGGGGTGGTTTTTCGATAACGGGTGGGGGGTTTGGTTTTGGTCTGGGTTTGTATATTTTTGGGGGGAGAGGTTGTGTTCTGCCACTTGGGAGGGTTAATTCTGACGGTTGGTCAGGTAAGGGGTGGAGTATGGGGGTAACTAAAGTTTGTTTCAGCCTGGAACTTTGGTTTTCATCCCCGGATAGTTCTTGTCCGCTGTTGTACTCCATAATGTTTTTCCTCCGAGCCTGCGGTACGTCGCTCTGCTTAATAGTGATTTTTATCCCTTCCGCTGAGGGGATCGACACATATTCAGACACGAAGTCATCTTCGTTCTTTTTATTTGCCTGTTCATAACGTCTGGGGGTGAATTTGAAAATTTTAAATTTCTCCATACTTTCCAAATTTTCGTTCTCCATACTTTCCAATTCAGTTTTCTCCAAACTTTTTAATTTTTTGGTTTTCTCCAAAGTTTCTGGGAATCCTTGGGATTTGGCAACATCGGAGCCGTCTCGATCGTCTTTGTCGGTGCTATCAAGATATAACTGCTCGATGCTTCTGGAGTCGTTGGCGCGTTCGCTAAGTTCATTCTCCGAACTTTCCGAAGAGTCTGTTTTTGGCCCTTTCGGCGAGTTTCTCTTAGCTTTTTTGGCCGTGTGGGTGTTGTTTCTCTCGAACGAGCCGTTTTCGGAGCTGTCTGCCTCCATTTCACTATCCTCGCTCGTTTTTGATTCGCCGCTTTCGTGTCTTTTGGAAAGTAAGTAGAACGCATTCTCCTTACTTTGTAGACTTTGGGCCAGCCCGCTGTCGCTAAGTGTTTTCTCCAAACTTTGCAGATTTTGTTTCTGCATACTTTGTAAATTATCGTTCTCCATACTTTGTAATTTTGAGTGTCTTTCGTCTTGAGAAGCGGCTTGTGTCGCGCTCGGACTTTTAGGTGGTTCGCCGGTGCTATGTCTACGGTCTCTTGTTGTATTACTAGGTCGATCAGTTTTCTCCATACTTTCCAATTTTGGAAAATTTGGCCGTGGGTCTCCTGCAGTACTGGACTTTTCACCGAGATTTATGGTTAGGTCCTCAGTACTTACAGTTTTTATGCTGCTCGATAGAATTATTCTTTTCTTATTTCTGGAGATGTTAGGGTTGCGTATGTAGCTTTCTCGGCTTTCTTGAATTAACTTATTGTAGGCTTTTACCCGACTCGATAGGCGTTGAGAGAGTTCGGTTTTTGATTCCGCGATTTTCGCGGTGTTTGCCGGTTTACCCGGCGGTATGGCTGCCCCCGAGGGCTCCCCCATGTACGGGGTTACACTCCTGACACTTTTTTAAAACTATACCTGGCGATTATACTTTACTCGGACAATAATAAATGGAAAAATACTAAGAGGTTTGAAAGTAGGGTTATGTGTTACTTCGGATCCGGAACGAACGTAGATTCGGGTAACAGCAGCCTTGGTGAGTCCAAGGTTCACTCGAATACCCAGACAAAAGACAAACTAAACAACAGCTCGCACCGACTAGATACTCGCGCAAACTAGTCGGACGGTGGATTGAACGGTAGACTGGCCATCGAAGCAACAAGCGTGAAATCCGCGATTGTTGCCTCGATGGACGGTGTATCGAGCACTCTGCCTGTGAGGTGTATTACTGAACAATGACTAAACAAACAACTATACACACAAGGACAACCCTGTTTTTTCTAGCTTTTTCAGGGGACAAAAACCATAACTCAAACGCGACATATCCTTTTACAAATTCCCATTACCGATTCCAAAACAATCCTAATCCCTCAATAATATCGCATGGTAAGGAGTGAGGGCTGCAATATTTGATCATTTTTTATCAGAATAGGGGTAGATATAGGTGGACAAGTCCGGTCGGACTCTAGACCAGCACGAAAGGAGAAGATCCCGGTAGTGTTGATTATACTATTTCATATTCTGAATCTGTAGATATTTTAACTATGTAAATAAAATCCTTGTTACTGTTTACTGCAACTCGATAGTGTGACTATCTGTTGATAGATGGCACCAGTATTGCATTTCACGAATTAAGGCCATCTTCCATCCAATATATTTTCGAGAAATTTAGATATAATCTCAAAATCGAACATTTGTTTTTAAATGTTTTTTAGTGTTGTTTATGTATTTATACTTTTGTTGAATCAAGAATATTCTTACATCTTTTTTGAATGATTTCCTTAACCAATCGTTTTGCAGTATTTATGGACCAGTATTTAATTTTGTCGAATCACAACTATACAGTGTGTTCCATCTCAGACGAGCCACCCCATAGTAATTGGAAAAATTTCCTGAAACACGTCGGATGATTTTCTTTGGGGGACATCTTTTGACGTATATTTGAGGCTTGAACCAGCAACCTCCTATGAGGAGGAGCTTCAACCCCTCAAAATGGAATAGGGAAGAAGGGTTGAGTGATACATCATTTGTAAGGTCTTGAAAGCCTCTTTACAACGGTGTATGAAAAAATCACATTCTTAAAAAAGATTAATTGTTTTATCACATCAAATGATCGAAGAAACGTGATAAACCTTCTAAGAGCAAAAAATGAAGGCAAGATAAGAAAATGTTTTGATTTTTTTATTTATTAGTTCGAGAGAATTTATTATTGCATGGAAGTCAATGGAAGACAAATTGAACATTTCATTTAAAAACGCAGTTTTGATTTTTTTGATAGGCATGATAAAACAATTGATTTTTTTTAAGAATGTGATTTTTTTCATACACCGTTGTAAAGAGGCTTTCAGGACCTTACAAATGAAGTATCACCCAACCCCTCTTTCCTATTCAATTTTGAGGGGTTGAAGCGCCCCCTTATAGGGGGTTGCTCGTTCAAGCCTCAAATATACGTCAAATGTCCCCCAAAGAAAATCATCAGACGTGTTTCGGGAAATTTTTCCAATTACTATGGGATAAGAACTATACGGGGAGGCTCGTCTGAGATGGAACACCCTGTATATAGTGAGAATAGGTATAATTGCTTGGTACACATACTTTGATTTTCATTTTCGTATGTGCGTCCGACATACAACTATTTTAATAATCTTGTCAATATGTATTTTACATTAATATCGGACAAATAATTAATACACATACCGTTGAAAATGTCTGATTTTGAGATTATATCTAAATTTCTCAAAAATATATTTGATGGAAGATGGCCATAATTCGTGAAATGCAATACTGGTGCCATCTAGCAACAGATAGTCACACTATCGAGTTGCACATATTAGTTGTAGAGGCCGAAACTTGATTTTAAATTAATGCACTTTTCTCTAACGCTCATGGAGAAACGATTATTACTCACGTTCAGGCCTCGCAACGAAATCGAGACAGGCGTAACAAAAAAGCTACAAAAGAGTTACAAAAAATGAGCCGGGTCCGGGCTGGTGCCGCTACAAATATCCGCTAAGCTAGCGGATCCGCGCTTTTCTCAGGTTCAGTACAAGCTACAAAAGGGAGACTAGCGTAACAAAAAAGTTACGAAAAACCAGCTGGGTTTGAATCTGTGCCGCTACTATGGAATTTATGGAAATTCAAGCTAGCGGATCCGCTGTTTTTTCGGAACTGGGCTAAGCTACAAATTTGCAAATAGTGTAACAAAAAAGCTACAAAAAACCCGCCAGGTCTTGAATGGTGCCGCCACAGAGTGCCCGCTAGCTTGATATAGCTAAATAATTGCGAGATAAAGGAAAATTTGTTAAGCAGAACGTCCTCAACAAACGCAAAAAATCAATTTTGGCTATGAATAATGCAAAAAAATTGAGAAAGGAAACCCCAAGCTTGAAAAATAACCTGTGCAGTGGTCGCATCGTGGAATTACTAGAGTTGAGAAAACATTTAAAATGTTGCTGGTGTGAAAGAGTTCTTTCTCTTGAAAATATTACAAATAAAACACGAAAGGGCCTTTATTCAATTTTAAATGTTAAATGTAATGAATGTAATATTGAAACTATAGTACTTACGGACAAAGTTTATGCAACAAAAAGTGAAGTTAAGCATTCAGATGTCAACACTAAAGCAGTTCTAGGTAAATTTAAAAAAAAATACATAAGTATTTATGTTTATAATTTTTTTATTATAATTAATATAATTTTATTTATTTAAAGGTGCTGTCCATTCAGGGTTTGGTCAAACTGCTTTAAATAAATTTCTTGCTGTCATGAACGTTCCTACGATATCATCAATACTACAGAAAATCATTACTTTTATTTGTATTTTTTTATGACTTCCTCATACTAGTAAGTTAAAATTTTAAATTACTTTATATTCATTTTTTTTTTGTGTAACTGTATTTTATTTTGAAGGCATGTTTAAATAAAATTATATTCATCTTTTGCATATTTATTTAATTTTGAAGACATGTTTAAATATAATTAAATTTAAATTGTTAAATCATATCAACCTAAAGTATAAACAACGTCCCTTCCCAGAAGGTCTCGATAAAATGATAAACTTGACTTGTCCGCGGCAATAAAAAGATTGGGAAGCACTGATCTAACAGACATTTGAATTAGCGGGCGTTGAGTGTATCGATTACAAAGTTGCCAAGTTGTAATCACAATACGCCACTATGCGTCGACTGCTTTTAGAACATTTTTATTTGAAAAATCTATATTTCTTTATCAAAACGGTAAAAAAATTCAGCGTTTTTTTAAAAAAATGTATAACTTCTTGATTTACAGTACATTAGTTTTTAAAAAATATGGTAAGAACCGTTTTCGAGATATCTTGAAATAAATGCAATGATTGTGTACTTGACAGGGCTTCAAGAGTTAATTATGCACATTTTGATTGTTAATATCTCGTTTTACAGACGGTCAAAAATTTTTATTTTTTTTAGGTACATAAAAGACACTTTCATTAACCTCATATTTCAATTTTATTGAATTCTTAAGAAAGGCCGTTTTACGAGTGAACTACCTTAAAAGTTTTCGATATTAATCCATCCTTGATTTTGTTTGCACATATAAAGTGAAATGTGCGAAGGCAAGTTAAAAATCTAACTCCACATCTGAACGATGTAATATTTTTTACACAATTGTAACAAAGCCCTTTGGTGACTTTTTCATTTTTAAACGTTTCTTCATCTGACTTCCGAAGTAAAATGTTGGATACTAATTTAATTTTTTTATCGGTTTGTGGTTTGCCATCGAAAAATAAATTTATTTTTATAGTTTTTACTTTAGTGGTGATATCATCAATATGAACTAAAGATTCTTCAGATTCAGTATTTGCACAAATATTTTTATTTTCAATATCGACATCCTCATGGTTTGAACAAAAATCAACATTTGCAACAAAGGATTCGTTGTTAGTAGCATCAATAATATTGTTATGTAACACATCGTTCGCAACATCGCCAACATTTTCTTTATTTGAGTTGATAGCAGAATTCATCTTTTTTGCTGACTTTTTTTGGCTGTTTGCCATTAATTAGTTGTTTTCCTTTTATGTCTGTTTTCTGTTTTGTTTTAATAAGTCTCTCTTCCTTTCTTTTTTGTTTAAGTTCGTCTTCTAATTTCTTTATTTCGATCTTTTCTTCTTGATATTTTTTCCAAACTGAAGGATACTTTTTCTGCTTGTCTCTCCTTTTCTCTCTGGCGTTTTGAGATAAATAAAATGGTTTTTTATGGCGAAAGAAGTAGAGGGTTCAAAGTGATGTTCTAACTGTTCCATATTTGTATTTTTGTCTAAATTTAAATTATAATTTGTATCTTCCTTTATGCCTTCTGCTATTTTCACAATATTAATATGCTTGCTATCATCTAAAACGATGGGCATAGTTTCTATAATAAAATTATCTTCGATTTCTTGCTCAACATCTTCAGAATACACATTTTTATTCCAATTTTCTTGTTCACTATTGGTCTTCATAAATTCTTTATATATTTGGTAAAGTTTAAATAAGTTTTCGTCTTCATAAGTTTCCTCATTCATATTCTCAAATAATCGTAGCCTGTCTTCTCCGATTACACTTTTTAATTTTGACAATGTAATAGTTATGCCGTCTTCACATTTCTTTTTTTTTTAATATTTTTACCTAGACATATTGAGTAATCTATAGCCGACGAAATATAGGAAGGAAGGAAATATACCACAACTTTTAAATCCTTGTTTTATTACTTCTGGTCCTAAATTTTCTAGAACACCTTTTAAGATAGCAGCAAATGTTTCCTTTGTGACAGTTTTTCTTGGATTTTCTCTATGAAACTTTGACACACTCTTCGCCCAAAAAGTGTTTAATGGCTTGAATGTCGAAACATCGGCAGGCTGCAAGATCTTAGTAGAATTTGGATAAAGCGCAATTAATATTATATTTAATTTTTTACATAAATTACTCGTTTCATATGTATTATGGGTTTTATGCCCATCTTCGAATAATATTGAAAACTGGACACCCCTTTCTATTAAATCTTTATAAAAGACGTTGTCAATATACTCATAGAATGTTGCTTCTTTCATCCACCCTGTATCATTCGTACCTATTCCCTACTTTTTAGGGACAGAATTAATATTTGCAGGAAGCCTCTTATATGGATATATTATCATTGGTGGGCTTATATCACCGACGGCCGAGAAACTAAACATAACTGTTAAATTCGTTTTTGAATCATGTTCAGTTTGGTAAACATTTTTTGGTCCTTTCGCAGCTAAAACCTTCTTATTTTTGGGACAGAGAAGAAAGCAAGTTTCGTCGCCGTTGTATACTCTGGATGGATCGTTTAGTATATGATCATATCCTTTTTCTTTTAAATAGGAATGTATTTGAGAAAACCAATTTCTAATATCTGACTCTGAAACATTACTGCTTGCTGTCGTTATAGCCTCTTAGGGTTATAGAAGGATGACGCTTTAAAAATGCTTTGAACCACCCTCTTCAAGGTGTATTTTCCCTGAACGGATTATTTCGTGGATTTTCATCTAAAAATGATTTCACTGAAGCTTGCACATTCTCGATTCGAAGTGGAAATCCTTTTCGTTGACATTCTAGGACGCAATTGGTTAAAAATATTTCCTCTTGGTTACTTAATATAGGATCTGGTCCATGCGTAACTTTTTCTTTAAATTTCTCACTTGTACGAAACTGCAAGGTTGCTCTAGGAACCTTAAATTCTGCAGCCACTTTTCTTTGACTAAGGCCATTTTTAATTGCATCTAAAGCTTTCTGGACATCCTGTTCCGTATAACTTTTAAAATATTTTTCATCTTTATTGACTTTCGGCATTTCTACAAAAAAACAGTCTAAATGAATTTTGTTTGCAAAATTTAAACGAAATCTAAAATATTAGTTTTTTATTGGAATAGAAAAAGTGATATTTTAATGTATGGTGTAATTTTCTTTACGACAAAACAGTTTAAAAAATTGACGTCTACCTCTACAAAACCATGAGCCAAACAAGTAGCCAACTATAACACGTTACAAGTCATTGTTTACTCAATTGGCTTACTCAACCAATCTATAAAAACTACGAGAGGTGGGTCATAACGTTATTACTGCGCCGTAAACCGTTACATATTTTATAAATAAATTATTCCTGTTACAGATATTGACCACCCATATAAGATAGTAATTGACACCCGGCCAACTACTGTTTACAATATATTATTTTTAGAAATCATAAACAAAATATGAAATAAATCATAAATTTCAATAGAAAATGTTGTTTTTCAACAAAAAATTATATTCCGATTAGTTACAATTATTGGCCACCCGGCCAATAAATATTTCACGTGTAAACATTACACAATATTTAATAAAAATACGAAAGTTTATCAATAAATTACCAATAATATACCAAAACTGTCAAATATAAATAAAGCCTACAATAAATATAACTTACTATAATGCAGCACCTTCTTAAGGAGGTCCTTTCGCCACCCCTTTCGCCACCAATGTTAAAAAAAAAGTTATTAGATTATGACTAAAATTAATTTTTTTCTAATTGTTGAAGTCTTTATTTACCTAATAGTGAACTTTTAACTATATCTTACCGTGCAAATTTTTGAGAAATATGTTTTTAAAAATGTGAGTATTTGTACACTGTCTTACGAGAAAGTAAGACGTGAACAACAATTCTCGAATTATACTATTATTTATTGATTAGATGGAGTAGAAAAAAACTAAAAATAAGGTTTTTGAAATATTTAGGTTTTGTTTTTTAAAATAAAATATATAGGTTACCGTGGAATTTATTGAGAAATTAATATTAAAAAAAATTTCAAGCAACTTAGTTGAAAATTTTTTGTGATTAAAGTCAACTTTATCCTTCAAAATAAAGCCAAATATTAAAATGTGGCGGGTACAAGCATGGTTGATGATGTAATAAGATGTTGCGGGATTTTATTGAATAATTTATAATTTAGATAAATTTAAACCGAACTTAAAAAAAATTAATAAAACTGAAGTGGCCAATAACTATCATCTGGCCAACAACTATCTCATTTACTATTGGTACAAGCATACGGTGCATTTTTATATTACAGGTTTTACGTGTTAAATTTTCGGTCCCATGTTAGAGTCTGTTCTTCTAGAGCAGTAGGGTTGACATTTTTTTAAAAATATAAAATATGTCTACAGTTATATGTTTAGAAACACTTTTACAGCAAAGGATTGCCAGAAAATATTTTTTTTAGAAACAATTTTTAAGATACAGAAACGTATATTTGTTGTGCACCTCGTAATCTTTGACTCTTTATTTTAGAACAGGTATAGGTAACGTTATGTCATGAATAATTGGTTATTGTCAAAAAATAATTTTAAATCAGAGCAATAAATAAATTGTAAATGTCCATTTACACCATTACACCACAGAAAAAAAAAACATGTTCAGCTTTAGTCTCGAATTACATCAGAGGAATGTCAGCACAAAAATTCTTGAATTATTGCACCGATTTTAAAATATTTTTGTCAATATTCGATGACCCATGACATAAAGTAAAAAGATAGAGATTACGAGTTGCACACTGTAAACATTACCTGTGCTAAATTTCTGCCCTATCGCTCCAGTAGAACTTGCTTTAACATATTGTTTTTGTTTTGTCTATTTTTAATATACCGTGCCGAACTCTAGTTTCTTTACAATCGTATTTCAATATCCATTGGGTTTATTAAACCATTAATACAAAATAAGGAATATAAAAAACATTTCTTTTAAAAACTGTTGTTGCCTAAATTATTAAAGTCAAACATTTTATGATTACAATAAATAATTAATCAAGGACTAATGTTAAAAATTAATGCAAATTTTTAAAAATATTAAATTAGGGGTTTTCTAAAATAAAAATGTATGTATTCTTAATAGGTTTAAATTAAGATCATTCAGTATAAAAAATAACATATGGTGTCCCATTTAAAAAACACACCTTTCACCTATAACTCAAAAACAAAACCTAACTAAGCCACTGAAATCGACAAAAAAAAAAACGTAAAAAATGATGTAAGAATCTGTCTTTACTTTTTCAAAAAGTTTAAAGGCAACTAAAAATAAAAAAAATTCTGAACTTTATATACTGTATAAGTCTGCATATAAACGAAATGGCTTACTTATTTGAGCTATAACTATAATCGGTATAATACATCATTTATAAACCGGTATACTTGTAAATTAATAAGTCACTGATAGATGTTTCTGTTTTTAGTGTCATAATGTCCAGTCATCAAGAGGAAATAGAAAATCTTTTGTCGCCAAGCAATGTTGTAAACCAAACTCCTGATGAAGACGAAATCTGAGTAGCATCGACTTCTAGTTCATCACAGATACCTCCATTACAAGTCCCTTTAAAATCCCAACAAATATCGATAAAAACCTTTACAATGACAAAAAAGATACACACCAAAACTGACATGACTTTGGCTTTTTTCGTAAGTACAGAAATGATGCCCTATAATATCGTAGAAAAAGACGGTTTTAAAAATTTGTAGAAGCTTTAAACGCAAGCTATAAATTACCCAGCAGAAAAACCTTGTCAGAAAAGTTAATTCCTGATTTGTACAATGAAACGCGACGAATTATTGAAGCTATTTTAAAACAGGCCATATTCATATCTTTTACCACCGACTGCTGGATTTCCGTTGCAAACAGGTCCTATATCGCTCTTACATGTCATTTTATAGACGAAAATTACCAAAAGCGTTTGTTTAGGTTGTTATGAAATGGATGATGATCATAATGCAGAAAACTTATGTAATCATATAAACCTTATTTTAAATGATTGGAGTATCGAAGAAAAAACAAATACATCATTTACTACAGATTACGGAAGTAACGTTTTAAAAGCTATTAGGGATATGGGAAAAGCCCATATATGATGTTTTGGACATGCAATTAATATTGCAGTAAATAAATGTTTTGAAAACGCAATAATAAGCGAAACTATGGGCAAGATTAAAAAAATTCAGACTATTTTTGCACATAGTTGGAAAGCTGTAAGAGATTTAAAAATAATTCAGGAAAAATACAACATAAAGGAAACAAAAATTCCCTCCTTTTCTAAAACGCGATGGTGGTCTCTTTTAAATTTAATCAAGATAATTGTTCAGCAAGAAATATCTCTCTTAATTTTTTTACAAACCTATAACAATGGTCATTACAGAAACCATTAAACGCTGACGATTTAAAACTCCTCAATGTTATCATGGAATTAGTCATCCCAATTCAAAACATTTTAGAAACTGTCTGGAGAAAATTATGTAACGGGATCAACAATTTTGCCCATTTCTTTGGAATTGGGTAAAACATTAATAGATGAATACAATGAAACTGAAATTGATGACGAAATTGTAGTACTAAAGAGGGAAATGTCTGTATCAATTTTAAACATACTAAAAAGTAGATATGAAAGTGATAAAAACACTCATGAACTTTTGCAGACTGCCACCTTTATGGACCCTCGTTTTAAAGGATCATTTTTTAGTGATGCAGAAAACAATGTTATTAAAGATATAATATTACAACTTAGTAGCGAATTAGAAATAATTCCTGCTCCTGAGAATAGACCTGCGTCATCAAGGAAAAAGAGCGGACTTTCATCCATTTTTAAATCTATAAAAAATGTTGAAAGTAGTAATGCTGTAAGTTTATTCGTAAAAATTAAAAAGGAAATCGAACAATACATAAATAGGCCAGCGATTGACGTTGAAGAAGATTCATTGGTATGGTGGAAGTATAACGCTCATGTATTTCCTTTTCTTACCCAATGTGCAAAAAAGTTTCTTTCTATACAAGCTTCCAGTGTTCCATCTGAACGAGTATTTAGCAAAGGGGGCCAAATAGTAAGTGACCTCAGAGCGTCATTAAGTGGGGATCATATTGAACAACTTGTTTTTTTGACTATGAACATACGATTTGTTAACATCGATAAAAATACATAATACTGTTTTTTTTTTGAATAAACATTTTTAAAGATAATTATTTATATTTTACTTTAATCCATCACCTAAAAAGTTGATTAGACATAGTCGGAGCATCTGGGGGTACTTTATAAGGGGTACTTTTTCTATTCTAAGGAATAATATATTTTTCCTACGACCACTTAGGAAAGTGACAGATATCGCACTATTTAGTCCTATGGGAAGTGCCCTATAACACACGCGTATGATTAAGAATTTACTTTCCACCCATGTATGATTATTAATCTACTTTCCGCATTAGCTGTCACATAATGTCAAACTCATCATTTCTATTTTCATCTATGTCCATATTAAATAGTAAAATATATAATATAATGATTAAATTGTTAAAATTGATGTTTAAACTTAGATTCTATATATTTAGTTTTAACAATTATTAAAATAACATTGTTTGCTTTTTATTCTGGTTAAGTACATAATCGATTAGATAATGCTTTTGACATAAGACCCGTTAGCTCAGTATGTTATACAGCGGAAAAGTCAAATTTGGCTATCGCAACGCGCCGGGCCACCCGCGTTCGTATCCCCTGGTAGTCGGAGCAATTTTGTTGTTTTGAAAAATAAAAATATTGAATAAATATGATTATTATTAATTATTATTTTGAAATACACTTTATTTATTATAATATAACCTGGTTTTACATTTTTTTGATGAAATTATTTTGTGGTCGTAGGAAAAATATTGTACATCACTTGTGTGAAAAGTGATTTTCACGCTCAGCTTGTGCCTCGTGCGACAATATTTCCCACTCGTGTGAAAAATGTCACTTTCCACACTCGTAATGTAATATACTATTACCTGTTTTTTACGCTTGGAGAAGAAAATTATTCCAAAGAAAGTTGCTTGTAATTAGGGGTGGGCAAAATAATCAATTACCTATATATATTTTTTATATTCGATTAATCGATTATTTCAGATTAATCGATTATTTTAATTAATCGATCATTTTAATTAATCGATTATTTTCGATTAATCGATTATTTTCTATCAATCGATTATTTTCGATTAATCGATTATTTTCGATTAATCGATTATTTTCGATTAATCGATTATTTCCGACAAATCGATTAATCGATAATTTCCGATTAATCGATTATTTTCGATTAATCGATTATCTATATTGATAATCGCCCGGTCCTAGTAACCACGCGATGGCAGGTGGTAAGCATTTCGTGACTAGTAGAGTGAAAAATGCTGGACGGATATTGTTGAAATCCGAGGAGCATAGCTTTTATATTAAATTATTTAAAATTGAAAAATGCTGGACGGATATTGTTGAAATCCGAGGAGCATAGCTTTTATTTTAAATGATTTGAAAAAAATATATAAATTGAAAATGCTGGACGGATATTGTTGAAATCCGAGGAGCATAGTGTTTATTTTGAATGATTTAAAAAATATATAAATTGAAAAATGCTTGGACGGATATTGTTGAAATCCGAGGAGCATAGTTTTTATTTTGAAATTATTTTAAACATATTAATTGAAAAATGTCGGACAGATATTGTTGATATTCAAAGAGCAGATTGTGTTTTAAATTATTTTAAAATCTTGAATAAAGTGTTATAAATTATAAGACATGGGGTGTTGTGCCACTTATTTAAAAATGCAAGGTTTTGCCTCGTCTCAGAATGTGACGAGAGTATGAGCAGGAAACTTTTTCGAAAGAATTTGGCGGCTGATCTTGTAATTTTGTTATTTTTACTTGAGACGTCTTTTCTTTTTGTTTAATATTTTTATAATTTAAAATAATATAAATTAATAACCAGTCGTATAAAAAAAGAGAATATTTCGAGAGCGAAATATAGATCAGTATGGCCACAGCTTATACAATACAGCTAAAACACTTTCTTGGCGGCAACGGTTTGCGTCGATTCCGTCGCGCATCGCTTAAGCTCCGCCTTCGGACGGAAAAGACGACTTTGGCGTTCAGAACGTACTTAGGTAAGGTATTGGGCCGTGCGTATAATTTCGTTGATTGCATAATTTTGTTGAGCCTATAATTTCGTTGATTTTGTTTGAGCTCTCTGTTGTGTTAAGTTAAAGATAATGTTATTATTTTGGTGACTCTTTAGCTGTGAGAGGAATGAGTAAAAAAAGACATAATTCTGTTTGTGCAGTCAAAAGCTGTTTTAATATGGGCCATACCTGTAAGAAAACATTCTTTCGTTTTCCCAAGGGCCCAAACCGATAAATATCACATTATAAAAAATTTTCATTGTTACAAATATAATTTATGCAGGATGTCCCATTAGTGCGTAATTGTTCAATATTTGTGTTGTAGACACGCAAAAAGTTTTAAATAAAAGTTGTATGGATTTGAAAAATACCTACATATTTTAAAAATATCTTTGGATATATAGGGTGTCGCGTTTTTGCATGGAAAATTAAAATATGTTTTTTAAATGGAACACCCTGTATTTTATTTTATGTTGAAATTATTAAAAGCCTAAATTATTGTAAAGATGAGTTGCTACAGAAAAATGTTATTAGGTACGTGTGTGGTTACCTTTTAATAAAAGCCTTGCGGATCCACTCCTGTGATACCTGTCTTAAATATAACAAAGATCACGATGAATTAAATGATTTTTCTTTTTATTGCTAAAGGGATAACAATGTCAATTCAGATACATTTGGAAATCCGCAACTGCCAAATGATGAATTTGTAGAACTAATTTTCAATATTGAAAAGATATTTCAAAATAATTTTGAAGAATTGGCTACACTTTTAGAATTAATTAACCCAATACCCTTTAGTCATCCAGGCCAACGTTTTCCAAAAGAATAACCTATTTTAATATATGTTTAATCTCAATAAATAAAAAATATATTGACAATTTGTTTGACTTGGTGTCACTTATTTAAAATTTTAAAAATAATTGCAGTCGGTTGATCAAAATATGAAAGGTGATTGGCGGATTTAATTTTTTTGCAGTGTTCTCACTACCTAGAATGGATACGAAATATATTCGTTCAGTTGAAAGCAATAGCATACTTTCTCGTTTTGTAATCTGTGCGTAGATAAAATAATATCCATGTGAGTGTAGAAAAAATAATTTTTCTAAGCCCACATGGATATTAGTTAATCTACGCACAGACTACAACTAAACTAATATATTTCATATCCATTTTAGGTAGTGAGAACACTTTTAAGTAATTAAATCCACAAATCACAGTTCATATTTTGTTCACCCAAGTCCTATTATTTAAAAATTTTTAAATAAGTGACAATTCTGTTAAACTAATTGTCAGTATATATTTTAGTTATTGATATTAAATATACATTAAAATGAGTTATTTCTGTGTAGACTCGATAAATAATAGCATTTTTGTTTTTATTGGGTACACATTTAAAAAAAAATATTAATTTTAATCAAACTACATGATACTAATTTAATTACGAGTATTAAAACTAAAATCCTAAAATTGTCGGTGAAGATGACAGAACATTTGCCTTCCACGCGAAAAGCCCGGGATCGAATCTAGGCTGAGGACTAATTAAATTAAATTAAATCTTTTTTTGTTCATGTTTATTTTATTTTATAAATTAGTAAATTATTTTAAAATTAGTTATTTTGTCTAAATAACCTAAAATATTTTTTTAAATTTGTAGATTTTCGTTAGTGGGTCGTAGAAAAAATATACTGTATAAGTGGATTGTCTATATCACAATCAGATGATTGAGTAATCCGCCAACGGCGTCGTGCTCAAACTTTGTCTTCGATGTGATATGGCTATCATATCCACTCTTGTTAAACAAACTACTATTTATTTGTTTTCTTGGTTTAAGTTTTACATCAGAAATAGGAACTAAATTAATTTACCTTTCAAGTTTTCTTATAAAAATCGTTATTACTTTCTCCAAGTACAAATTTAGTACCTACGTAAAATTAGTACTAATTATGTAATTCAAATTTCACATTACTATAAAGTTTCAAAATTCCCTACTTCGGTATGATCAGATAAAAATTAAATATATTATATTAATAAAAACTATCAAAGTATTACTTCTACAAATCAGTATTCCAATGAATAAGAATACATCTAAATAAAACCAATACTGTTAAAATAAAAGCACAAGTGACCGATTCGTTATAATTCCAGAATACCATAGAGATCCCAGACCTCAATCGAAGCATTCGTTTATCTAGGTGTTAACCCTTTGCGCGATGAGTAACACTTGCCAGACACACGGGGTACCACTTGATTTGCATCCACGGGCGTGACAAAATTCGTTAACAATTGAAGCCCTTGATGTAAAAAGGATCCAATTTCTCGTGAAGTGGCTGTTTTAGCCAAAACATCTGTTAACGAGGATATTACTAGCCACATACAAATTATTTTACCTCTACTCCGAAAGATGTGCTATTTTTCGTAATATTTATATTTAAATAATTTTTTTAATTATATTTGACAGGTTTAAAACAAATTTAAAACTTAATTTTTCAAAACTTCTTAATGTGGCATGTAACCAACCTTATTACGCCAACGTCTTCAATTATTTCAATAATAAAAATATTTTTTAATCCGGGCCCGACTTTTCCGTCGAATCTAACAGAGATAGCACCATTCCGTCTTTCTTGGTTCTCGACCACCAAATCAAAGGCGCCGACACGGAGTTGTGGAGCTGTATTGTATAAGCTGTGGTATGGCCGTGTTAGCAGGTAAACAAATTTTTGTTAATTGTATTACGGTAAAGCACATTAGCAGTCAAGAGTGGGGGTGCGAGAAGTGATGGCGGTGGTAGCGTACCGTCGGCTGCACTCTCCCGGGCAGACGAGTTGAGTTGCCTTGAGTGTTATAGTGAATTCAAGCTGTTAATTGATTCTCACGCATTGTGTTTTATCGATAATAATTTGGTAACTAAATAATTATTTGACTTGATAATAAAATCTAAGATATATATACAGGGTGTTTCCGAACTTGGCGTCCAAATGTGTAGGGGTGGTAGTTCGCATAA